GGGCTATCTAACACTGAAAGAATTTTTCAAATCGGACCAGTAGTTCCTGAGATTAGCGCGTTCAAACAAACAAACAAACAAACAAACAAACAAACTCTCCAGCTTTATAATATTAGTATAGATATATGGATACCTGTTTTGGAAAAAACTACCTTCTTTCTTCCGCATAAGGTAACAACTTGTATGGTGTAGGTGAAGCAGTCATGACGGTATGTCCTGTGACGTCACGATCAAACTTATATAAGGTTCCAACTATAAAGACTATTGTAATTATCATTTATTTTGTAGATCAGTCTTTCAATATGGCTGAAGTATTTTAGGTTACTCCCAATATATAATGTATTATTTAGATATAGACTTATCAATTAGGCTCTTTTTTTATAATTTGTAAAGCCTTTTTTGTTTATCAATGTTTTGTCACATTTCCATTCATATTTTATTAATGCAACAATAATTTATAAAATACCTTAATTTTATAAAAAAACATTTTTATTGTTTAAATCAACTGTCCAGTACTTAAATCATTCCTTAAAATATTTATTTTAAACATCGATTTAATTTGTAAACTTTGAATGAAAATATCCCTTTGCATTAGAAGTTTTTTTTGTCTATGCTTTGATATTTTTGGTAGCATTTCAAGTTTGAAATGTATTTTCTAACAGTATTCTTTTTACTTATTGACATAACACTGTGATCACTGAATCAAATAGGATGTGTATTTATTAGTTTATATTAGCTTTTGTACATGGAGATGGTATACGACCATGAGATGGCAGAGGTTTCTAGTGCGTCTATATTTATATAGATAAAAAAAAAGTATAACTGCTATGTAACAATTATAAATTGTAAATGATGCTTTAAAAAAATAGTGGCACTTCGGGAGTGAAAACAAAAGTGAAAACTTATATACAGAGGTGTCGGTAACGGTAACAGTGTCGCGAGTTCAATCGTTTTCTCCCATTAAATTATTTTGTTTGTCGTTCAAAATTGCCGAACGCGCCTAAAAAAGTTTTCACTTCAAAAATTTTCCTTGTCTATGATAATTAAGTAGAAATAGTGTTGCTTAATACCACATCTATTGATGATGAAAAACATTTTTATCTATTATTATAACATGATTATCATCTTAATACATTAATATTCCAATGATAAAAATTCTATGGTTTACTTGGCTACATTTTTGCCAGATTATTTCAGTCTTGTTTAGTGTTCAAACATATTTTCTTTAAACCAGAGCTTACTCAACTATTCTCTCTAGACTATCACTCAGTCACTAGAAAAATTCTCTCTGTCTCTTTGTAAAGATACAATTTGGTGATAATAAACCCTCAAAATGACCAATACCTATAAACGCAATTCTTCAACCGTCGTTTTCGAGTGCCCGGGTTTTTGTATGAGATCGGCTCATGTCTTCCAGCTGGCTATATTTTTGTACAGCTCTCGAAAACTATGGTCGTGTTGATATTTTGAACATACACTAGGGGTGAGCACCCCCTCGCAAATTGCAGGATCGTCGTATGCCATCTTCACTTATCACTTGTTATAAAAATCATGAATAAAAAAGTGCACGAATTTTTTCCAATAATCTAGCTGATTGGCTCAAAACATTGTCCAAAATATTGTTATAGTCAAACGATTATACATAGTTGATATTTACACATGTAAGCTAGTATACTTGTGTTAAAATAAAATATATTATATTTGTTTATGGTTTTTATTTTATCCCAACAATATGGCCGCGATTAATGCTGCCAACTTTCAAACGATGAGTATGCAGAGTAGAGGCAAGGAGAACCATCTTTGTGTATGAAAATTGTCCGTAAAGACGGAAAAAGTAAGTAATTAGAATAAAACAGACTAATAAAGTCGCTGGAATTTTCAAAGTAGTCATGTTTTTTTTAATATTTAAACTCAGCACACTTCACTCTGTCTACGACAGCTATGTTCATGTCGTAGTTTTTCGTACGCCAGCGACCTCTATTTTCAGTATACAGCTAAACACTTTTTCAACTTTCTCCCCATATGAAATGGTTCTCCCTACCTCTACACTCCATAGATTTTAGGGTTATTATTAACTAGTGGTTGCAAAGTGTATATCTTTTGTGTATGAAATATTAAATTTATAAAAGCGTTTTTTTTAATCACAAATAAGCTGCATACAACATTTTTGTTTATTACAAATAAGCCTCCAACAGCCATAGGTAGATTTATCAATGACAAGGTGGTAGCCACAGGGGGCAGATGATGATGTAATCAATAACCGAACGGAATCTTTTTAAAAATGACCGTAACAAAATAATCGTAGAAAGATAGGCATTCGCTTATGTGTGTTTTGTAATTATTAATTCGTCCTAGGTCCTAGGTCCCTACTGACTGACCCTGTGGTTGACTAAAAAACTCCTCTCAAACTTTTGTTAAATAAATACTTTAGAGCTATTTTTGCCTAATATTATGTAGAATATTGTAGTCTGCTGATTTTGTCCATCCTTAAACAAGTCCTAGCTCCTCCCTTGATTACTGTTTACGTTGCTAGCTTCCAATTTCCGTAATCCCAATTCCCCTAAAATAACTTACATATAAATTATAAGATGTGTTTCAAGTTCGATGCGACCTAAAAGTGCCACCTAATTATAGATACTCTTGCGTCAGGTGAAAACTACGACCGGCGATCTGCAAACGAAAAATCAACTCTATTTCTTCGAATTAAATTTGAAAATGTAACAAATTTTGTACACATACTAAAGATCGACAGTGTCTCAACGTTTCCTGGGTAATTTCCTTGATTTGACGTCACCAAATGTCCAATAAATAACACTAGGTTTCATGAACTACATCGGAAAACTAGTAAATAAATATTTCATTTAATTTGGAGCAGTTATTTTTGCAACCACAAGGTGAAAAATTTCAGTCCATTAGAAATGGACGGTGTTTTTGTAAAAAATTAGTTGAAGAGTCGCCTGTTTTTATTTTATTACTGTACATCTCAGTTACATTGTGAAGGTAGAACGGAGAGTTAAGTACTTCAAATCTATACAAATCGTGCGCAGATGTGTGTGACCTAGTTGTGTGCAGCGTAAAGGCCGTTTATAAGCTCGATTATCAGTTGGCAAGTAAGCACACGACACTCCAGACAATCGTCATTTTAGAACAAAAAGCCTTTTCTTTTTAGCCTTTGCTCATGCCTTCGCTGGTGTAGTAATGTAAACCTTGTCATCTAATTCCCTGAGTGTCGGAATAAGTACTTATTTCGGGATCTTCACCCAGAAAGCTTCTTCTCTGTACCCCTGGCAACACGTTGTTTCGATTGTGTGATGGCGTATGACGGAATTTAACCACCCCTATTCATCCCGTGGGTGTCGTAAGAGCCGTCTAAGGCAGCAAACTACGCAGGACAACAGCACTGGAAAATTTATTCTGTGCTAATTATCAATAATATGTATTCAGAAATATATGTGTGTTTATCAGCAATCAGATTATTATAGGTACCTACTTATTGGCTCTGCCTAGTTTGGCATCAGACGGTCGTGTGTGGAATGTGTCTAGTTAATATTATTTATTATTAAATTAAGTTTGAAATGCAGTACCTAAGCATAAAATAAAGTTATAAGTTATTATATAAATGAGATATTTACAGACAGAATTCGTCGTCCTTGGAGTCACTAGCGCGTTGTTACATGAATTTTTGTGGTGTAAATCATTCCTTGTAACGTCATCTGTCCATGAAAGTAGCGTTAAAATCGATTCATCATTTCCGGAAATCGATGGATGCCGGCACAAACAGATAGACAAACAAAAAGCTGTATAATTAAAACTCTCAGATACAGTAAGTAAACAGATGTTATAATGTTAATACAAACAGACACTTCAATCGTTCTTTGTGTATAGATAAATAACTATTTTGTTGGCAGTTATTGCAGCAGACGTCAACTTGTCTGACGAGGAATCACTCCTTGAACTGAGAGTAAGGTTCATTGATCAAGATCACGCCTTAACTAGTTCAGAGAATAGAAGCTCTTATATTAAGGCCTGTAAAAGGCAATATTCCTTAAGAGATGAATTATTTCATAAATTATCCATCCATATATACGTCAAATAGACATTAATTGACAGTTGATTTTTGGCATTTATTTATTATTTGGCGCAGTCTCCGTAGAAACCAAAAAGTACTTATATACGTAAATACCTACATAATGTACGGATATGAAAACCTCCTTTCAGAGGAGAGGCCTATGTCCAGCAGTGGACTATCATAGGCTGTTGATTTGATGATGTGTACGGATATGAAGTTACTTATGTATACTTGTTTCTGTTATGTATCATATGTATGCTAAGGATCCTGTTCCGAAATAAATGATTAATTATTAGTATTTATTATAGATGTTCTTATCCTTATATTTATTCAATTAATAACGTATACAATATTGTATTACAACTTGAAATATAAGGATATACATAGATACCTACCCTGCATCGTAGTTTCATTACACACGAAAACTGCTTTTATGATCCTATAACTGTATTATTACTAGTGTACAGTAATATCTATAATTAAGTCTCTGTTTTTGTCCAGAACATTGTACGTCACCTACAATAATACCTTTCTGTATCAATACACCATTCACAAAATACATCAGCAGCATCCATCAGCATTATGAACATAAATCATATAGAACAACCTTTCAACAGTAAAGAAGAGCATTGACACCAATTATTACATATATTTGTTTTTTATTAAGCAGTAATAGAGCTGAGAATCGCGTAAAAAACTGCCGACAAAAGTAAACATTGACTCCAGAAATAAATGTTACATCTTCCAGTGAAGTCTGTGCCAACAGATCTGACTCTCCCTTAGAACGCAGTCAGTTAACACGCGAAAACCGCGCTGGGTGGTCAAGCGCACTAACAAAACGTAATAATAAATACACCACCGTGCCATAAATAAAAACAAACTTGTCAAATATTACCCGCGAAATATTTTTTCGATTCAGTGAAATCCAGCCATGGATGAAGAATATCGTGTTTATACAAGAATCGAAGATATCACAGAGCAGGACGACAAAAACCTGGCAGGAGCAAAAAAGGAAATTAGAAATGATCTAACAGTTATAATCCCCGAAAATCCTTTCCCAGATATAGAAGTCGACGCCTATCCACCCCTGAAGTTTTCATGGGTTATCCCAAAAAAACTAGCAGCTATGGCCTTCCCTAGAAATAAGGAGAATTTGAAATTCTTGGTAAATCAAGGAATTACGCATCTGGTAACACTAACAGCTGGTAAAAAGCCTCCCGTGGACGATGTAGCCAGATTAAGGTGGTCAGAAGTACCCGTAGAAGAATTTACGCCGCCGTCTTTAGATCAAATAAAAAAATTCATTGATATATGTAAAAAGTCTGATAAAAACGGAGAGGTAAGTCTTTATTCAAATATTTTTTTTGTTTATTTGCCTACTTACAAATTATTTTGTGTATTTTGCCAATACTTGTACCACCACAAAAACTAGTATTAAAAAAGATAAAAAAAAACACGTCTATAGAATACCGAACTAAAAAGTAGAAATTGATTTTTGTTTTTGAAAAAGGCGCTGATTGCTTTTTATAATATTTAAATTGATTGAATCGATGTTAAAAATACCTCTTAAAATAGTTTATAAAAAATATAGTTTTAAAAAACTAAAAAATAGAAAATTAATTTGGTTTTCTATAGAAAGCGTGTTTTTTAGTTTTATAAACTTTTTTTTTTTAAATTAGTGTATTGTCATCGGTCCTCGATATATCTACAAAGTTTGAACGAATTCTGACCGTTTAAAGTCGGTTAAAATCACGCCCAAAGGAGTCGGTTACAAACATACAAACAAACATACAAGTGAAGCTAATATGAAGCGTGTAAAAATAGAGTCTAATGGAGTATTACATTCAATAGTCATCTTTAGGCTGTACTTTTGTGTTGTGTACTTTTCAGTACCATGGTCTACAATTAATATGTTAGTCTAATGAAATAATTGATAAAAACTGTAGTTTAGGTGGATACACTTAGTTTTTGACTGAACTTTTGTTCGAGTGGATTGCTCCTAACTGTTGAGCCAGGGTTCATGTGTTTGATTCTCATTCAGGACAACTCGATAATTTGTTCGCTCTAGGGAAAATTTATCCATAATATTAATTATATTTAGAAATATACAAGTAGATATGTATAGGTTCTGCCTAGTTTGGCATCAGACAAACAGACATTGCAATCTTACACGGTTTACAAGTGCAGCCGCTTGGAAACTGTGTAAGATTGAAAACCTAATATTATTACTAGGACAAAGTCTGTTTATTTTCATTATAGTAAATTATTCGCTACCATTTGAAAGCCTTTTTTTGGTCACGGGGTGGAAAATCCTTTCAGATCTCTGGCTCCAAGATGTGCAAGAACCAGGAGTATGTGGTGTTTCCACTAAAAACGACCTGGATGGCCGGCCTCAGGCGCCTTACTCTAGGCAGGACCCGGAACATGTGATTTTTGGCCCCGGATCGACGCGGCACCTAACTAGGCCCTTTTCCAAGTCCATTTGCTAGACTAGAACTTAATGTCACCAGCTTTATTTTATTATTTTGTCGAGTACTTTATAACTTGATGTTATATTGTTTTATCTCATACTTATACCTACTTTAAATTAAAGAGCAGCAAAGCAGATGAAGCATCATAATATTGATTAAAAAGGCAGAATAATCCCACTTTAGCGCCGAATATATATCACATAGATATATTTACTACAGAAGTTGATCGAACGAAATCAACGAAATCTAGAACCACACAATCCCCCGAGGCTTTAGTTTACTTGCTATTGCGTGGTTCTAGATTTCGTTGCCAGGTCGAACATATCACCATTAATCTCTTCTGTTAAGATATTTTTTGAAACAATGCTAAACGCCTTTAGGTTAAACTCCTTTTACGTTGGACTAAATATAGCTAATACCTTTTGATAATATACTTCTGTCTACCCCATCGAAGATAAGGCATCACATGATGTTATCATCGACTAGTGTTGTCGTCTTACCCATCCCAATGACCTTTCCTTATAAATAAAAGTCTATTTTAAACCAAGTAGACAGAGAAGCCATTTACCTGAGCGTGAACAAATTATGTCTTGAGAGTGCCAAGTAAACGGTAGCTATCATTAAAAATTTGTGGCTAAGGGCCATAATTATACTGGGCATTCTAAATAAACACCTTCTACGCCAATGCGAATGTTTTCATCCAAACTCGGTAGATGAACTCAGATTATAGATACTCAGCGATATGTCTAAGTTGAATGTTCACGCTTAGATTTTCTCTAACCCAACAAAGTTCAGTCAGATCAGAACACGTTAAAACACCGAGCCGCGTACCTCATTTAGATCTGGCAAAAACTACAGCCCTTTAAGTGAGGTCCCTCAGTTCTCACACACTGTTATAATCTCGATCCAGTGATCGAACCAGTGAAATAAACAAGAAGCTGTGACGACATAGAATGTTCAGGAGGAAATGACGGGAAAGTTGAAATTTAGAAGCTTGATGACAAATCTGAGCATCGATACTGTAAACTATCGATGACGATCGACCGATTTCGAGCAAATCGGTTCGGGAATTAATGAATCGGCGGGACAAACCTGTATATAACAAAGTAATTTTCCGCGTCTGTCTGTTATATGATCTAAGTCCTCGTCAATCACGCAACGGATTTTGATGCGGTGTTCACCCTCAGCTAAAAATAAATTATATAATAAAAATAAATGTATTTGAGTTTCATTTAAATAGAAAAAAAAATTGCAACAGTCGTCATGTACGTAAACAGTTTGTTTATATTTTTATTCATGTATAGAGGAGGATTTAATGCAAAAGCATTCTTTATCAGTCTACCATAGGGTAATGTAGAAATGAGTGCGAATAAGTACTAGAGATTTTAGAGAGTATAGAAGAGTATTGTGTAAAGAATAGGGTAAAGCGAGTAAGCTAAGCTAGCTAAGCGAGCTAAGCTATTAACTTAATAGCACTTATTGTTTAAAAACTTTAGCTTTGTGCACTTCTACATATTTATAAACATTGAAGTATTCCAAGAACAATATGCTTTTATTTTGATATGAATTTTCTTCACGAAATAATATACACATATTATAGATACTACCCACTGAAGTTTCTTTATTCTAATAAAGCACACTTCATTTCCAGGTCATGGGCGTCCACTGTCGGCAAGGCCGGAGTCGATCTGGCGTAATGTTGGCATGCTACCTCATACACTTTCACAGGTTTGAGCCAGACCAGGCCATGAACGTCATCAGGATGATCAGACCAGGTAATCAAGTTTTGATTAGTACAACTATATTGGCGGTTACATATTAACTATAAGAATTAAACCTATTCGAAGTATTTTCGAAATAACTACAGTCAAAAGACCCACTGTTTAAAAATACATAAAGATCGTGGTTAGAATAGGTTTATCTCATACTAATGTTATAATTTGTTAGTTTGTATGTTCGGGGTAATCTCCGGTACTACTAATCCAATTTTGAAATTTCTTTTACTGTTAGTCAGGTATGTTATCCCCGAGGTTATCGCGATAACCGACATACAGAGCGGAGCCGCGGGCAAAAGCTAGTTTATTTAATTTAACCCTAATGACACATTAAAAAACTTTAACCTTGAGCAAAGACGAGAGTATAATCATGGTAGTAATGAGAAATTGGGCTCAACAGAGTCGTAAGCGTTCATATAGATTGCGATAGTCATAATCACTTTTCATATGCCGAGACGTATGCTTATTTTCCGCCTCAGTTGTATTTAATCCTATTGTTTTAAGTTGCCTTTATACAGTATCTATTATTATTATTCTGGAACCGTCGGTCGTGGTCCGTGACGGGCTCTAAAACACCATCCTACTTAGATATATGCATACTACTGTTTAGTGTTAGTTATTTTGCTTTACTAATAGACACTTATTTGTTTGTAAATATATACAAGTTACACATAGAAGCAGCTATACATTATATACAAAACATGCATGCAAATAATTGCAGCGAGCAAGGATCCAATTCACGAACGCGTCAAGTTCTGTTGGAACTATATAGTCTACACGTACAATTGAGTACAATTCGGTCTCTAGTTATGACCGAGCTACCTTGAGCGGGAATCGTATTCTGTCCTACGACTTTTGTACTTCAGGAAGAACAAGTCCCCCCCTCCTTCCTCCTCCAAATAGCCCACAATATCGTAAGCATATTTAGTGAGTAGTAGGTACATGTTAATGAAAACTAGATGTATAAAATAAAATACATCTTCGACTCTATTTTTATTACAGAGGAAGTGTACATGATGTAATATCATTTCGTGTTCAAAAGAATAAAATTAATCACGTTTATATTTATTGAGGAAAAACATCGTAAATTATGTAAAAAGTCTTTTGATCTATAATATGATAAATTTTTCCAGTTCATAAACTATTTCCTTGTGTAAAGAAAACTTGTTACAAATAAAAAATTTCTTCAAGTATCATAAAGTTGCAAAAGTTTTTTGTTTATCTGTTTGTTTAAACGCTGAATATTTAAATAATCTCTGGAACGATCAGTGAGATTTGAACGTTTATTTTTGCATTGGATAGAGTTAGAATATAAACTTTCATGAGTTGTATTTATATTTATTAAAGACTAGCTAAACAGCGCTGAACCGTTGAGGAAAACGAGTTCTTGAGTGGAGACCGCGTCTCGGCAAACGTAGTGTAGGACGCCCACAGGCCAGGTGGAGTGACGATTTGCGCAAGATAGCTGGCAGGAGCTAGATGCGAGAAGCCTAAAATCGATCTAAGTGACGTGCAATGGGAGAGGCCTATGTCCAGCAGTGGACTGCGATAGGCTGACGGTCATGATGATGAACAGCGCAACTTTGTCTTCGCCTTTCAAAAGGAATTATTTTTTCATGTTTTCGCAATATTTTTCATTGATGCTCGACTCCTATTGGTGGTAGCAAGATGTTAAATACCAAATAGCTTTCCTCAATAAATGGGCTGTCCAACACTAAATGAATTTTTCAATTCGAACCAGCAATTACTGAGATTATTGCTTTCAACCAATCAAACAAATTCTTCAGCTTTATAATATTAATATATAAACAGATAAACAATATAGATACAGATATTTACTCTTGTGTGTGTTTCGGAGATCCCGACTATGTTTTATGGTTTGTTTTCTTTATGTGCTGTACTAACACTAGTCTCTAAGAATATTGTTACTAACAAATTGGACACCGTGGTCTGCAATAAAAACTTTATTATATTTAATAAATTTGATGGATTATTTATTGAGGAATGATACAAACTTGAAAACATGGCCATACGAACTTTAAAAGTCGTAGTGTTTTGTTACATGACCTATAACTTTCTTTAATATACACAGTATCCAATAAAATATAAATTGCAATTACACAGATTCGGTCGTGTAAAAAAATCAAAAAACTCTTAACTTAACTTAACTTACCTACTCTTTTTCTTTCGTAAGGCAATAAATAATCTTGTAAAAAATCTTCAAACACTGAGGGAGTATGTAAGATTTTTGACAGCGGACGAACGGTTTTAACATTAGATAATATTACCCGTATAAAGGAGAAAGTTTGTTACTCTTTTACCCAAAAACGACTGAATGGTTTTGGATAAAATTGGCACAGAGATAGATCTAGTCTAGATATAGTCTGGCAGAGCACAAAGGGCAATTTTATCCTAAAAAAATTAGTGTTCTCATGGGATGAGCAAGGGGGGGATTATACAACAACAACCCCGAGTAACACCGCGGGGCACAGCTAGTTTCATATAAAATTATTTTGACATAAAGTAGAAGTAAAAACACAATAATGTGACTTGGCGTTCGTTTATTATATTCTATTCAATTTTGTGAATCAAGTTTTCATTAGTAGGGAGTAGGTTAAATTTATTTTAATTTATTAGTTAAGTACTTAATTTTATTCCAGAGTAGCCGGTTAGTGGGTTCGTATCCCGGACCGGATAAAATTTTAAAAGGTTTTTTCTGAAAGGTAAAAATAGCCTAAGTTACTCCTTATATATCTATATAAGGAGTAACTTAGGCTACCTGGTAGTGAAATATTATCAAAATCTGCCCAGCCGTTTAGACGATTACCCGGAACAAACAGACAGATAAACGACATTTTTTTAAACTGGTTTTTAGGCATAGGTATCGTGCAAATAATTGTGTAAGCGTGAAAAAAAACTATATTTTGACATTACAAACAGACACTTCAATTTTATTTATTTGTATAGATAATCTATCACCGTGATAATTTCCTCTAGGTGCGTTCTGCTATTCTGGCCTGATGCAGTAACAAAAATCTATCCAACCCTTTGTATTTATAACTAGCTGTACCGTGTCACATGTCGCTGTGGCACATTGTGGCTGCATTGATGAGAAGTGAGGAACCAAACTAAACAAAAAATAGATAAAAACTATCTTTGAAGTGGGTTTAATATCGTCGTTTTAGCTCAATCGGTGCAGAACTTTTTCAATTTTTGCAGCGTACACAAACTGACTTAAAATTTTGTACAAATAGATAGTAGTAAGATATCTTTCAAAAAATAGTTTTAAAAATAAAAATAGAACGGTTATAGAAACTAAAATAGTCACGTTTCATGATATGTCTTCATAGCTAATTAGGTCGACCTTGACTTATATACCAATGCCCCGAATATCAAACTGAACAAGCGTTGTATTTTAAACGTTTTCTCGTGTAAATAAAATCATTTATCAAAATGATCAGGTCTTAATAATAATAGCTTGACACATTTCACACTCTCACCGTGTCGTGACGGATTAAGAATACTGAATGTCACTACCCCAATTCATCCCGTGAGTGTCGTAACAGCCGACTAAGGGCGCAAAACAACGCAGGACACCAGCATTGCCTAGCCTATTCCAACCCGTCTGGCCAGCGTTATATAGTAAGCCAAAACCTCCTTTCTAAGAAAAGGCATATGTCCAGCAGTGGACTATTAAAGGCTGTTGATGTGTGATGTGATCTCACACTCAATGGCCTGATCCCAAACTAGGTACCATGCTAATTACAAACTACAAGTGATTTTATTATAATACAAGTGTTTTTTCACAATTTCATATGTAGATTTGTTTATCATAAATGCTTCTGTAGCTTGTAGTTTACAACATGTCACTCATTCGACGTAACGTAATGTTAATTAGCCTACGGAATTCAGAAATATATTTCCAATTAAATCTTGAGAGATAGAAGAAGCTAATTCTTATGTTACCATATTAATAAAGCTGCAAGCAATCAGTTGGGTTCCCACAGTGCTGAAAATGTTAAAAAAAACTGATTAAAACCCGACATCTTTCAAGTCTAGTTATGCTATCTTACCGTAGATTTACAGGTAAAGAATGAGTAGGTATAGCCCGACGAAAATCATCGTCAAAATCTTAGTAAAATTGATTCATTTTTGTAATTACATTTTTCTCAGGGTCAATAGACTCCGAAGAGCAGGAGGAAGCAGTCGGAAGGTACTTCGAATACCTCACAGAGGACAATCCTCTGAAATTCGGGGTGAGCAGTGAAGTATTGGAGGAGTTTATTCAAACAGCCCGGGACAGCACCAAGGCGCTGCTCAGTTAGACCTCTGTGATACCCACGTACCTGTGATTTTGTTTTAAAGTGTTTTATTGATGTTACTTATGATTAAAGATTATTAAACGTTTGAAAAATTTTGTGTTTATTTTCATAGAGTATACCATGTGGTAGGATTATTTTTATAAATGGCAACACCTTAAGTTGTGTGTAACAGCCATGATACAAGGCAAAAGTTCCTTTATGAATTAAATATGATTTAATATTAATAGTAATGACTTCGCACACGGTCCGTCCTAGGCAGAGCCTGTACTATGGTAACCAGACTCCTGAAAAACATACTTATATATTATTTCTAAATACACACATATTATAGATAAATGACACCCAGACACAGAACAAATCCTCGTTCTTATCACACAATATTTTGTCCTGGGTGGGAATCGAACCCACGGCCTCCTCGTAGTAAAATAGAGTAAAGTATTACTAAGACTAGCAGATTACCGATTCAATTTTCGGTTACAATACCATATAATCACATTACGGTCAACGTTGGTTGTTTGATACTTCACTACGAAAATAATTTTTATGACAGTTGTGAGATCGAAAGTTGATCGGAATTGAATTGTGTCTGCCCTTTAATCATGTGATAATACTTGAAATAATACAAAAACTAGTGAGAAGAAGCAAACAAACAAAGCTCTAAGTAAGTGTAATTAACACTTTTTACCTTAAAAGTTTTCAAACTTTGTTAAAAGTTTGTCGGTGTCCCTACACAATTTTGACTTTGCCTCCAGTGATCGGTTATGTTATGACCCCTAGATCATAATAACGGCAATAGAGAACAATTTTCACTATAATTCGTAACTACCCCGGTGGCGAAGTGGCTAAAACGGCTGCTCAGTTTGTGGAAACTGGAAAGTAGTGGTATCGAATCTCCTCTTACCGAAGCTCTTTTTGTATTTGATTTGCATTTCATTTACAAAGTTCAACATGTCTATTCAAAGAACACCACCTGCAGTAACCAAACATTCGCCGTCTCGCTCCGAATCTGATATTTGGAAATCATGCACGGAGGAGGGTAATTCGACTAAAAGTATTACTCAGCG